GATGCTGGTTAAAACCACAATGAGATACCACCTAACCCCTGTCAGAATGGTAAAGATTAAAAATACAAAAAATGATACAAAAAAAAGTGTTGGCAGGGTTTTGGTGAAAGGAGGACTCTCCTACACTGTTGGTGGGAATGTAAATTGGTGTAGCCACTGTGGAAAACAATATGGAGGTTCCTCAAAAACCTACAAATAGAACTACCATATGATCCAGCAATCCCAGTTCTAGTTATCTACCCAAAGGACAGGAGAATGCTCAGTCAAAAAAGCACTTGTACATCAATGTTTATTGTGGCATTATCTGCAATTGCTAAGGCATCAAACCAACTCAAATGTCCAAGAACAAATGCACGGATTGAAAAAGTGTGGTCCATATACTCTGTGGGATACTATTCAGCCATAAAAAACAAGACCCTGGCACTTGATAGAAAGTGGTCAAATACGAAAGATTTATTGCTGAGTGAAGCAAGCCAGGCTATGAAAGACATTGTATGTCTCCACTTAATATATACTGATTGTCCGCACTCTATAATAGAGATTGAAAGATTGGAGGACATAAAAGCAGTGAAAATAGTTATGAACACTGGAGTCAGTGTGGAAGGAGGGGGGGGGAGGGAAAGCGTAAGAAGGAAATCAGGGAGAAAAAAATAGAGAGGCAAGACATTTGTGGGACAGAGAAATGGTTTATTACCTGTTGATGATAATGTGTACAGTATTCTCAACTGGACTGGCCTGACGTGTATTTCATGTTGGGTAAATTCTCTTTACAAGTCAAATGATGTATAGTTATCGAATGTTTTTTAAAAATAAGAATAATTTAAAGAAAGAAAGAAAAAATAAAGAAAAAAATTTGTCCAAAATTACCTGTGAGTCATGTCTAAGTGGGATATTGAATTAGCTAAATACTTGAGGTCCTAAATTCAGTTATGAGAGCCTATTCTTTCTATAATTGACTATGATAAAATAGATTAGAAATAAGAATTTCTCTTTTTATAGTATTAGCTGAACTGTTAAGTTGGCTTCTGTATTTTAGAGTAAGCTGGGCAGAACTAGTTTCCATGGAAATGGCTGCTATGGTCAAGTGTGAGGATATGAGTGAGACCAGCAAGTTCAGGACTGTGCTCGAGTCCAGCAGCTGAGTGGGGGAGCCAGAGGACACAGACCACTCCCTCACATGGTTTGTTGGGAAGTGGCAACACAGCCCTTTGCTATTAAGGAGGATAACAGGAAAGGGACAGGGAGAAGATCAGCTCATGTTGGTTCATCAAAAGAGTCAAAATGCATTTTTGCACAGAAAACCAGAAAAATATGTCATGACTTTTCTGATGACCCAATAGTTGGCCCCTAAGTCATACTGGCTGCATTTGGGAGGGCCAGGCCTACAAGAACAAAGGTTTTGGGACCTAGTATCTTAAAAGTATTCATACTCTAACACTTCGATTTTTTAAGTGAGGAAATGGATCTAGATGCTGTCTAAAGTCACTAATGGCTACTGGGCCAGAACAAAGACACAGTTCTCTTGATGGACATCCAGGGCTTTCCCGCCATGACATCCAACCTGTCAGTATCAGGAAACATGTGAATGGCATCTCATTTGAGTCCTTGAACTTACCAGCAAGCTAATGAAAAATATATTTTTAAGAGATTTTTGCTACAGGGTGCAGGCACTCAACTCGCCAGAGAGACAGCGAGACAGGGAGACAGAAATTGAGAAATTACCACCCCTGTGGGGGGATGGCCATGCCATAATCCCTTCTCCTCCATTCTCCTCTCAGGATCTTGGGCATGTATGCACACATGCCTGGAGTGAGTTTTAGGTCGCCGTGTCCAGGACTCGAACCACAGCTGAATACGTGGCACTGGCGATGTCATCATTACACTATCTGCTAGTCCTAGCTAATGAAAATTAACCATGAGTAATCTGGTATAGTTATTTTCAGTCCTGTGTTCCACATTGTCTACACATAATAAAAGGTGCTTTGTGAGAAAATAACTACCAATAGAGACATGTGAAAAAAAAAAATCCCTCTAGAACTCAGCTGCTACTTTTTTCTAAATAACAAAACATTATTTTTACCAAGTAAACAATTTAGTTCATTCTTTAGCTGAAGAAACATAGTTGGGGGTACAGGGTAGGCCCAATTTACACACACAAAAATAAACAAGTGGTCAAACTATTTTTACATGTACCTGCTCTGTCCAGTGATTAGGTGATGCAAATTCTGATCTTCTCGGAAGACCGAAGTAGGTTATTTCTATTTTTTCACCCACTGAATCCTTCTATAATGCTGTAGTTTTGAACAGAATTAAATGAAGCTTGTTCTTTTTAGGATTATACACTGAAGTTCTGTGGGAGCTGAAAGACATGGCACATGGCCTTCCACAACTCCTGCAGTCAGAAGGGTTTCCGATAGTCTATCGTTTTATAAGGAGAAGGAGATGTTTTCTAGTCCTGTAGTAGCACTCTATGTTTTAAATTTTAGTGTAGTTACATATTAACATTCACTTTTATGGTTTTTAATTTTTATTATTTTTTAGGTTTTTGTTATAGGGTATGTGTGCTCACTGGAGAGAGACAGAGGGATAGAGAGAGGGAAGTTGAGAAATCACCCCCTCAGGGAGGATGGCTATGCTGCAATCCCTTCTTCTCCTCCATTCTCCTCTCAGGATTTTGAGTGCACATGCACACACATGCCTGGCATTTTTTCTTTTCCAAGCTGCTGCGTCCAGGATTCGAATCCTGGAGTTAGCCGTGTTGGATCCAGCACCTTAACCACCATGCTGCCTGCTGGCCTTATGGATTTTTATTAAAAAGAAAAATCCTTCCCAACATTACAAAGAGAGTTACCTATTTTGTCTTCTAAAAGTTAAAAATATTTGCTTTCCAAATGCAGATCTTCACCTAAAATTTCTTTCTGTATATAGTGGAGAGTAAGGGTTTTCAATATGGCTGAATCCATTATCCTGGAACTGCTTATTGAACAGATGACCCTTTCTTCACTGATTCGCAATTCCTCTGCTGTCAAATATCAAATTTCACATTTACGAAGATTTATTTCTGTGCTCTTTATTTCATTGTTCCATTGATCTGTCTCTGTGCTGGTGCAAGGCTGTCTACTTACTACAAATCTACAATAAGCCATACTCTAGGAGGGTGGAGTCCCTACCTCACTCTTCAAAATTGCTATAGGGACCAGCAGTTAGCGTAATGGCTATGTCATTGGACTCCCATGTAGTCGACCACAGTTCGAGTCCTGGACCTGGTGGCTTAAACTCACGCCGGGCGCGTGTGCGTGCGTGCCCAAGATCCTGAGAGGAGAATGGAGGAGAAGGGATTGAGACATGGCCATCTCCCCTGGGGGGTGATTTCTCGCTTTCTGTCTCTCTCTCTCTCTCTCTGTCTGGCGAGCGCATGCGCCCTTTAGCAAAAACCTCTCAAAAAAAAAATTGCTATAGATGACCCCATGCCACTTTCTGCCATATAGATTATAGAATCAGTTTGTCAAGTTCCTGGTAAGGTCCCACTGGGATTTCAAATGGAACTGAATGCAATTTATAGATTAATTTAGCAATTAATTAGTTAATTAACTTCCAGTGCCTTTTTTGTTGTTGTTGTTTTTTTTTAGAGGGTTTTGCTATAGGGCACATGCACTCACCAGAAAGACAGAGAGACAGAAAGCGAGAAATCACCCCCCAGGGGAGATGGCCATGTCTCAATCCCTTCTCCTCCATTCTCCTCTCAGGATCTTGGGCACGCACGCACACGCGCCCGGCGTGAGTTTAAGCCACTGGTTCCGGGACTTGAACCGCGGTTGACTACATGGGAGTCCAGCGACATAGCCATTATGCTAACTGTTGGTCCCTCCTAGTACCTTTTGAACAGTGTGTATCTCAAGGCTGAAAGATTGACTAAAATTTCTTTACCTCTCAAGTCAACAATTTTCTTACAAACTGACATGCCTCACATTTATAGACTTAAAAAGTCCATCACTGAATATACATTGCAAAGACCAAAAAAATCACAGAACTCTCTGAATCCTTCTTTCTGCTCTAGATATCTAACATAACAAAATAATCCTAAATATGAAAAAGTTAGCTAGATGCCTAAAATGCATATTACAACACTACTTACAACAGGGGGAAATGGAAATAACCTAAATATCAGTGACACAGAACCATTTAAGTAAACTAGAATAAACATGCCCAATGATGAGCTACGATGCCAATAAAACTCCTGCTCTAAAAACTATACACAGCAAAAATAAAAATGTTTAATTAGAAGAAAGCAGATGTTAAAAGAACTAGTTTCCTATCATAGCAAAATGCATTAGAAAATGCTATTTATAAGCCGTTAATAAAGTGAGCAGTACTCAGGTGTTTCTTTGGGGCTTCATTTACAGTTCAAACAAACGCCGTTCACAGAAAGCAAAGCACGCCCAGGCTGATGCTGGAAGTGTGGGGTCTAACTCCACTGCTGATTGTTTCGGCAACTTCTGGGAACCGATTACTCATTTTCTCAGTGGAAAAAAAAGAGTATTTAGAGTTGTAGATTAGTTAGCAAAGCTTTTGGAAACAAATAGGCATTCATTAAGACAATTCTAGGGGCCAGCAGGTGGTGTGATGGTTACGTGGCTGGACTCCCACATGGCCAACAGCAGTTCCAGTCCTGGATCTGGTGGCTTGAAAATCACAGCAAGCGTGTGTGTGTCTGTGTATGTGTGTGTGTACACCTAAAATCCTAGATTGTGGTATGGCCATCCCCTTGCGGGGGGGGAATTTCTCACTTTCCTTCTCTCTATCTCTTTCTCCCTCTTTGGCAAGTGCATGCGCCCTATGGTAAAAACCTTAAAAAAAAAGACTCTAAAATTTCATCTAAATTATGCAGAAAGGCTAGGTTGCCTGTATTAATTTTCTCTCAAGTATAAAAGAGAATGAAATCTGAGAGTTTACCATTTGAACTGAAAAATATCCAAAAAAAACTATATGATATACTTTACCTTAAAAACATGGAAGGCTTCAAACTGGATGTTGGGACTTTTGTCCCGAAGAAGATTCATCATCAGTTTCAGGTTCTCTGGCTTGCCGATGTACTTGGTCATAATGGCAAAGTTGTGGCGGTCCAGGATCAGCTCACCTAGCAGCTACCAAAAAGAAACAATTTTTTTAAAAAAAAAAATTTTTTTTTTTTTTTTTTTTTTTTTTTTTTTAGAAAGCAAATGCCAGCAGGTAGTGTGGTAGTTAAGGCACCGGACTCCCACATCCATGACCACGTGAGAGTCCGGACCTGGTGGCTTAAAACACGCACTGGGCGCATGTGTGTACGTGCCCAAACCCCAGGAGGAGAATGGAGGAGAAGGGATTGCTACGTGGCCATCACTCCTTCAGGATGATTTCTCACTTTACCTCTCACAGTGTCTCTCTGGCGAGCACACATGTCCTATGGCAAAAACGTTAACAAAATTTAAAAAGAAAAGAAAAGAAATACTTCCTGAATCACCTAACTTAAAATGTACCCCATTTTTTTCTCAGTGAATAATGAAATACAATTTTAAGAAGGGTCTCATGGAAGAAACTGGAGACTCCGTAAGTGCATCTCAAAGCACGGCATAAAAGCTGTAGTGCTTAGGGTCATTTAAGCTTGTCACGCAGTTTTGGTACTACCAGCGCTAAATGAATTTCTTTAGCCAGTCATTGCTGCAGCACACCTAGACCTAGCCAGCAATGAACGTAGTCGTTTCACTGCTAACTTGAATTATCTTGCTTCTCACTAATGGATTGCTCCTTAGGCATTCAGATAGAAAAGGAATAACAAAATTGAATTTACAATTATGCCTCCTTTACCTGAATAAATGCACTCTAGTAGTTTACCAGAAAGGGTTTTATGTTAAGTCACTCTTACCTTTGCCCTGACGTTTATTATAAAACCTGATGTAGGGGACCAGCAGTTGGCGTAATGGCTATGTTGCTGGGCTCCCACAAAGCTGACCACGTTCGAGTCCTGGACCCGGTGACTTAAACTCATGCCGGGCATGTGTGCATGTGTGCCCAAGGTCCCAAGAGGAGAATGGAGGAGAAGGAATTGTGGTGTGGCCATCCCCCCTGGGGGGTGATTTCTCATTTTCTGTCTCTCTGTCTCTCAGGTCTTTCTGGCGAGTGCACACACCCTATAGCAAAAACCTCTCCAGTTTTGGTACTACCAGCGCTAAATGAATTTCTTTAGCCAGTCATTGCTGCAGCACACCTAGACCTAGCCAGCAATGAACGTAGTCGTTTCACTGCTAACTTGAATTATCTTGCTTCTCACTAATGGATTGCTCCTTAGGCATTCAGATAGAAAAGGAATAACAAAATTGAATTTACAATTATGCCTCCTTTACCTGAATAAATGCACTCTAGTAGTTTACCAGAAAGGGTTTTATGTTAAGTCACTCTTACCTTTGCCCTGACGTTTATTATAAAACCTGATGTAGGGGACCAGCAGTTGGCGTAATGGCTATGTTGCTGGGCTCCCACAAAGCTGACCACGTTCGAGTCCTGGACCCGGTGACTTAAACTCATGCCGGGCATGTGTGCATGTGTGCCCAAGGTCCCAAGAGGAGAATGGAGGAGAAGGAATTGTGGTGTGGCCATCCCCCCTGGGGGGTGATTTCTCATTTTCTGTCTCTCTGTCTCTCAGGTCTTTCTGGCGAGTGCACACACCCTATAGCAAAAACCTCTCCAAAAAAACCCAAAAAGCAAAAAACAAAAAACCTGATGTAGAGTCAGAAAAAAAATTACTGGCCTTAATCCATATCAATTTTAATAAGTCTAGCATGTTTTTATTAAACATTAAGGAAACATTTTCTAGTGACAAATTCAGTTCCTAAAATGTAGCTTTACTCTAAAACAAAATAAAAATATCCATGGTGGAAATAGCTGAAGACATTCTAGCAGCATGGCTGAATTTACTGTTGCTGTCTCAGAAACTTGCTGTCACTGTAAGGGTAGGTAGCAATTCCTAGAGCTTTGGCAACCAGCAAGTTGAAATGTACCCTAACATAATTTTATACTGAAGATATACTTAGTTTCCAACTGCCCTATTTTCTGGACCTTTTCTGGAGGCTCAGGATAGTAATACATAAAGCACATCAATCCATGGGTTAGCTAAGTCTCAGATGTGCATGTACAGGGTGTGTGTGTGTGTGTGTGTGTGTGTGTGTGTGTGTGTTGTGTGCATGCATGTGGCTGCCAGTAAATAACCACTTGGTCCCTGATGATGCATCTTTTGTCTATTTAACAAATAAGAGGTACAAACCTTAAGGTTATTTTAATGCATGAAAATGTTTGTTGAATTTGAAAAAAGGATGAGTCCTGCTGGATGTTAGGGGGTCACTAATTATTCTCACACATATGGAATAGCAATTGTGCAATTACATTGTTAATCTTTATCCTCTTCAATCTCTCTGCAGCATCCAAAACTAACTCAACACTCTTCCGGAAATTTCTTTGGTCTTGGTTGTCAAGGCCGCAGATTCTTCTGGCATCTTACCTCTTGCAGCTTGGTCTACAAGAGGTTCTCTCACTGGCTCCCTTTCCTCTGCACTATGTAGCTAAGAATTTTCCAAGCTGTATATTTGGGTTTCTTTTCTTTTATCTTCCAACGGCTCATTTATATCCCTGGGTTCAACTGTAACATCTAGGAAGATGTCTTTTAAATAGACATTTGTGGTCTCAACTTCTTTCCTAAACTCTATACCCTCATTTCTGACTGCACACAGGACAGCCCCACTGGAACACCTCACTGGCCCATCACACCTGGCTCTAAAACTGACTTCCTTTCTTCCCTTTGTTGATGGTATCGGATCCGCCAGTTCCCTAGAGCAGAAAACTAAAGCTGTTCTCTTGCTCCTCACATCAAATCTACATCCAACATGTGCCAATTTTCTGTTTTTTAAATCCCCCCTCTTTTCTTTTTTATTGGCAAAGAATATGTGTACTCTCCAGAATGAGAGACAGAGATGGGGAACAAAGCCCTCCTCAGTGGGGCATGGTCATGCCGCAATCTCTTCTTCTTCAGTTCTCCATCCTGTTGACATTTTGGATATGCACTTGGTGTGGTTTATCCAGCTTATCAGAGCCAGGATTTGAACTGCCTTGGTCATGTGAGATCTGGCTCCCTTAACCACTAGGTTATAGGGTTGGTCTTTTAAATGTCTCCTGAACATCCTTCCTTCTGTTTTTACAGTCAGCATTCTCATTCAAACCCCCTGTGCCTTTCAGCTGGAGAACTGCATCAGCATGGAAGAAGGCCTCTCAGTCTTCACCCAGTGCAAAGTAACCTTCCTGGCGCTCACCTACATTCAGGCTGACTGTACTTATAAAGTGAACGAATAAGCAGACAAATCCCCAGATGGCCAAGGATTCAGGGCAAATACTTGAACTTCTTAAGATGGCATCCCCAGCCCTCTGTGATCTAGAGTCCTGTCTACAGCTTCCTTTCCTCAGTTCCCTCCCTCAATTTTCCTCATTCTCTGCTCCTGTGGCTTCACTCTCTTGGCTCCACATTTTCATCTCTGCCTCCCAAACCTTACTGGTCCTTCCAGGGCTAGCTCTGGGACGCTGTGTTTAGGGATGTCTGTTCTCTTCCCAGCTGAAAGTGCTTCCCTTACAGTATAGAGTCACGTGTGAGCCTATTTAGATACAGCGCCAGGAGGGCATGTCTCAAAAGTCTTTCTTATGGTTGTGTTTCTTAAAATCTAACTGTGTGATGTGTGTGGGTATCGCTAGGGAAATAAAAGTCCTGCCGTCACAGAATTCTCTCCACAAAATGCAGAAAGGAGGGGCCAGCAGGTGGCATGATGGTTAAGGCGCTGCACTCCCACATAGCCCCAGACCTGCTTTCTCACTCTCCCCTAACCCCACTCCCTGGGTGTCTGTCTCTGGTGAACGCAGGAGCCCTATACCAAATAATAATAATAATAATAATAATAAATAAAATGAAATAATTCTTTAAAAGAAAAAAATGCAGAAAAGAAAGTGATTTATTATTGAATAAGTATACCCAGAGCACAATATGATAGATAATTTGTGAAAAAGAGTTTACAAAGACACAATTCCATCTCATTTCCACACCCTAACACCTGCCATCCACTACACACACAGGTTCCCAAGGTGAAGGGTACCCATGATGAGAGGGCTTGACAGCATCATTTCTGTATGTTCTTTCACAGTTCACCAGGTCCTTGAGGTAGCCATTTGTTTTAGCTAATGGCCTTTATCTGAATAATAAAACTTGTCTCATACCCCTCTGACAAGCAAACTATCTAGCTGTGAGAAAGGTACCTAGGCTAAATTTCACTGGTGACAAGGAGATAAGAGTGCTATCTTCCTAGACATTTATATTCCAGAGGGCTGGCTCCCAGGCCCTCAAAACAAACAAACACACACAACAACAACAAAACACTTCTGGATAAAGCTGACAAATGGAACCAGTAGTTAGCGTAATGGATAAAGCTGACAAGAGGCTTACTTAACTTCTTAATTTAGATATATGTCATCAAATAACACACATACACATATCGAAAGGTTCCAGGAAAAGGGAAATTTTACTTTTTAAAATGTACTCTTACAATTTACACACACACACACACACACACACACACGATAAACATTTGAAGTTACATTTTGAGTTCAGATTAAGTCATTTCAATTTTCATTAAATGGACATACCTACATATAAATTTTTCTCCTAGGCAAATTCACAACTAATTGTGTTGAATTACTTGACTAACAACATTGCCCTTTCAGTCATTTAAGTGTTAATGTGTTTTAATTAACACTGACAGTGACAAAATGTTGCTTCCATAATAATACTAAGCCATATAATACCGTACAAAGTAAACGGAAAACAATCTTGTTTTATTTTTTTATATTTTTTAAAATTTATTTTTGTATACACACCATAGCACAGAGTAAAACCATGATGTGAGTAGAAATACGATTTTTTGAAAAACTAAGTGATTTAGGGCTGGTCCTGTAGTGCAGTAACAAAGTACTACATAGAGAAGCCCCATCCCACATGGCCCACTGGGGTTCAAGTCCAGCCCTGTAGGCTTGAAAAATTCAATGGGTATATACATACTTAGCATCTTGATGACATGGA